CTCTCTGTGTCCAGCTGCTGTATCTTTCTGTCTGTTTGGTCACTTAGTTAGTTATTTTCAGCTACTAACCATAGAAAACACTATCCTTTTCCTGAGGAGAATTTACCTCAGTAGTTTTTTGTAAGATAGCAAGTGACTGAACTCAGATGTGACAGCACACCTTGGACATTGATTTGCAGATTTTCATAAATTAAACACTGCAGTATTATAGTCATGATGACCACTGTTACTACATTTAGCTTTAAAGAAACTCTGAGAATATGATTTTTTGGATGGCAAACAACCCCACTGGGACTTGCACTCAGTGCCAGAAATACCCACATTACCATCTAATGGACGACTTAGTTTGCAGCTGAAGACAAAACCTAGCATTTCATTGTACATTTTTATCAGTTTACGAGGTTGCATATTAATAGTAATAATATGTGGGTGGGTTTGTGTTCTTACCTCTGAAAATACTGGGCCCATAGAGATACTTACTGCAAGCTGCCCACAGAACACTAAAGTGAATCATTACCCAGATGACATCTCTGTGGGAATGCATTTCGAGACATATGATTTGTTTCAGAATTGCAAACTTTTATGTCAGTTCCATTTGTTTGTTTTTTGTAACATTTGTGACCTTTTAACTATTTGGGCATGTTCATTCAAAAGCCTCAAAATGAATCTTAATTAAAAAGAGTTGATCTAAAAAAATACTCCCTCGCTCTGGATAGAATTTCTGTCATATCAATCCACAGACAAAAACAAATGATGTTTAGGAGTAGTGGCATTTTCAGTTTGAGTTACTAGCATGAGCTTGTGTGATCTTGCTGAACACTGCCATTTGCAAAAGAGCAATTAAAACAGATGACAATCTGCTAATCACACACATTTCTATTTAGAAATTTAGCAGTATTTTCTCATTTTTTGTTTTTGCTTTGACTTCCTAAGAGTAAAAGTAAGTTTTATGTACTTATATTGTATATAACAGTATGTAAATTTGGGAAACTTGACCACAGATCAGTAATTTTCAGTAGGCTAAAAAAATACCCCAGTGTTGTAAACATCCTTAGTGTGTTGTGTCTGTGTAGTATATGTTTGTATGCATATGTTTGTGTGGCTAAAATATTCCATATTTTACATAAAATTACTTTTATGCTGATAGAAAAATTCTGCGTTTGTTAACAGAAGAAAGTAATGCAACAGGCCTGCGTAGCTGATAAATTAAAGCTGATTGGGTAGCAGAAGGCACAGGCATGCTCAGGATTTAGGATTTAGAAGTAGTGGCATTTTCACATTGGCTTACAAAGGATGAGTTGGCTCGATTTGCTGATCACTTTCATGATTTGTAGGTTTTGTCTATGATTTTAACCTTGAAATCATTCAAGGCCTATCAGTGGTAATACTCCACTTGTATTCAGATAGGAGCTCTGGCTACACCTAGAGGCAAAGTGATTCTGGTGGCTTTGACAACAGCACTAAGTTCCTATAATTTGGAAAGAACTTCAGAACATTAAAAATAGGGAGAGAAATTGATAGGAGCAAGGTAGTAGGAGTCACTAATGGAAAGAGATGGCAGACAAATATAGGGGTTGTATTTGGACACCACTTTATGATGCAAGGTCATTGTTTCTCTGCAGATCTCTGAGTTTTTCATAACACAGTTTGAGGTCTTTGAATTTCTGAAGTGCACTGCTATTCACCTGTTGCTCGTTCTTCATGTGTTCATGGCTCATTCTTCATGGCTGCATGTAGTTCTCAGCCACAGTGCTATGGCCACTTCCCTGGGGAGCTTGTTATAGTTCCCAGCCACCCTCTGGGTGAAGAACCTTTCTCTGATATCCAGCCTCAGCCTCCCCTGACTTGGCTTTATGCTGTTTACTCAAGTCCTGTCACTGGTCATGTGAGTGACGAGATCAGCTTCTACCCCTCCACTTTCCCATGTGAGGAAGTTGAGGACTGCAATGAGGTCTCTCCTCACTCTCCTCCAGGCTGAACAGACCAAATGACCTCAGCTGCTCCTCATACAGCTTCCCCTCCAGACCCTTCACCATCTCCGTTGCCCTCCTTTGGATGCTCTCTAATAGTTTAATGTCTTTTTACCTTGGAGCACCCCAAACTGCCCCCAGCACTTGAGGTGAGCCTGCCCCAGTGCAGGGCAGAGCAGGACAATCCCCTCTCTTGCCCAGCTGTGCTGCTGTGCCCAATGCACCCCAGGGTTGGCCCTCCTGGCTGCCAGGGCACTGCTGACTCATGTTCAACTTGCCATTGACCAGGACACCCCAGGTCCTTTTCCATGGCACTGCTCTCTGGCCTATCGTTCTCTAGCCTATGCATACCACCAGGATTTCTCCAGCCCAGGTGCTGAATCCAGCACTTCCCTTGTTAAACTTCATATGGCTTGATTGCTCACCTGTCTTAGTTGTTAAGGTCTTTCTGCAGGTCTTCTCTCCCCTCCAGGGAGTCAATGACTCCTCCCAGTTTAGTGTCATTGGCAAACTTACTTAGTATTCCCTCAAGTTCTGTGGCCAAGCTGTTAATGAAAAACCTATATATATAAACAAGTATCCTCTTACTTTGTAAGGAAGGTGCTTTGTAGAGCTGCCTTTTTCTATTCTTATTCATTTTCTGTGGATACAGAATACAGGATCTGATAGTGTCATCTTTTAAAAGTGAAAAACCTCCTATTGATTTCACTGCCAGGTTGGATCCTTAAGCAGTGTAAAATAGAGCTGACTCTTGAAACTGTATTACTGTTCATCTTTTGTTGGCTGCTACAAGGATTCTGCTTCCTGCAGCTGTATTTTTAATTGAGAATTCATTTTAATACATATTTTATTTTAAAAGGTAAATGGAGACCTAGTATAATAAAAAAAATAAGTTACTGACTGCAGGTTATCAGAATGTTAAGGTGTGGGAATTATGCATAGCACTCATTAGCAAGTGTACATTCAGGATAGCCAAAGTGCTGGTATATATGCAGAGTAATACTCCTGCAGAGGTATCTAGACAGCTTTAGTGCTGTAAATGTTTATTGTCTTTATTCAGTATGTTTTGGAGAACTATATGGAAATGTAGCCAGTAGTAGCACTAGCTAACCTGTACTTAATGCAGGTTTTCTTTGGAGGTGGTTTTCCAGACCTTCAGTTTTACTGAGCTCAATTTCAGAGGCTCCTTCTTTCTTTCCTGAATTCCCATAAACATTTTGGTTGGCATCAAATAATAATATAAAAGTCTTTAAGTTAAGGCCTTACTCAATTCCTTTTAATTTCTCTTAAGTGCAAATTAAAAAAAAAAAAAAAAAAAAGACCATAAAGAGCAAAGAGAATGGAAATGGTTCTGAGAGGAAGCACTTTTATGTAGCGGGAAAGTTATCATGTACCCTGTGGGGAAAAAAAAAAAAAAAGAAAAAAAGAAAAAAAAAGCTATGAACATAAAAAAGTAGAGATAGGAGGTAGAAAAATGTAAAGATGGGGAGAAAGTAGCAAAAGGGCATCTGCCCAGAAGCTTGCAAAAAAAACCTGTGGTTGAGTGGAAAAGGAAAAACAAAGGGACATTAGATAAGAAACACTGAAGCAGAGTGATTCTACAGCTTCCCACTTTCCCCAGCAGTTCTGATAGAACTGGAAAGGGGTGTGCAGAAGGTTTTACAGCTATGTGGTGTGTACTTTTGTTTACTTTTCTTTCTCTCAACAATTAAGAGTAAGTTCATGGAGGTGATGCCACATCTTTCAAAGATAACCAAACATTTCAAAAATTTCAGCATTCATTTGTACATGTTTATCTCATGCAAATGCTTTTCTTATATCTAATTTTTACTGTATGTGTAATAAAAATTCTATAGACTGATTTGGAATAAAAATGTTAGGCTAAGAAAATCAAAACAGAAACAAAACCTTCTCAAATCTTAGAAATATTTTCTGAATTTACTTAGATTTAAATAAGAAGTTCATGTAAACTTTAAGAGCTGAGATACAGCTTGTAGTTGCAAATGCTGATATTCTGAAATATAAGTCATGTTTAGTAATTATGCACTGGGGAGGATTAATTAATTCATAATGTGCTTTATTCACATGGGAACAACACTTTCTATCCTACAGGTAGAAAAAAAAGCTAAGAAACTTTTCTGTCTTTCTGTTTTTTAAAAAATAATCATTATGCTGTTATCAAAATAAGTGTATATAAGGTATTCATGTCCCAAGTGAAGAAAAAAATACTTTGTACTTAAAAATTAGGTGAAAATATGTTGTGTCTGTATGTTCTCTTCAAATTTTTCTAGATAACAGTTTCTGGGTAGGTTAGCTCAGTGTTTCTCATGTTCCCTCACATATCTCACTTAAATGTACGCTCCTCACTTGGGTGGAAAAAATGTTGTGAGAAACGTGCTTACATCTTTAACATAGTAATTGTTCAGTTAATCTCATTTATGGGGGGAAGGAGGCTATACTTCACTGATACTGTTTAAATATCCTATACTGGGTTCTATATAAATAGCTACAAATGTGCACAATGGTTACATTACATGGTATATTTAACAACACAGCTAAATCAGAAAGTGTGAGCTATGCCTTTAGTGATGGGAGTACTAACGATTGCATGCAAGAAGATTTTTTTGCTCTGCAACCATGAAGGAAATAATTGCTGTTCAGCACTATTCAGTTACGTTTGCATATCAGTAAAAACACATGCACAGAGGCTCCACCTGCATTCCTAGTGCCCTAGCACTGATACGAGGCCAGCATACATTAAAGCTTCAGAAGTTGTTACATTTTTCACAACTTGCAAAGTGCATGTAATTTTCAACAGAACTTATTTGACCACTGACAGATGAAAATGACAAGGTGACATTCAGGTTTTATGATTTTCTTTTCTTTTGGACAAAAAGTACCATAGGGGACATTTTACAGATTGTTGCATGACTACTTCCACTGAGGTTTTAAATCTTGTGGGGTTTTTCCTCTTTTTGATTCTTTGAAGATATAAATGTATAAAGCAAATGTTTCTCTTTCATATTTTAGATGGAAGACTTTATTTGAAAACTACTGTCATGTATTGAATTTTTCCTGCTGAAAATACGTGTGCTACGGTAAAGAACGTTGCAGTAAGACATTGGCTCATAAGGAGTTCTGTGGAAACAAAACATTTTCAAACCAACTTCCTCAACTTCATTTATCAATGTTCTTCAAAAATGTAAAGAATTCTACAAGAGTGTCCTCCTTTGGTTATCTCCTATGGCTCAACCTGGAGATCTAGAGAATGTTTGTAAATGTACAGTAGCACTGTTCTCACAGCGAAAATCTGCATCTCTGCACCGGACTATTGTATCCAAAATTACAGGCGGTCAGAACAAGGCTGAGTATTCCCTTTTTCAAGGAATGCAGACTTTCTCCTCCT